TAATATGAAAATGCAGTTCAAATATATTATCTTAAATTTGCAACTCAATTTTATTGTATCATTTTTACATGTAGGCTGGAGGCCAGTGCTATTGAATAAAATCTTGACACGTTCATTCCCCTGACAAGGACCTGTGTTATACCTCAATCTGAGGCAGATTGTTCTAGTGGATAGTGCGTCTGTCAGAGGGGAAGGACTGTGGTTTGATTCCCTGTAGAATCATACCAAAAGAAGGGTGGCCTAGTGGTTAAGTGTTCGCTCATCGTGCCTAATACCAGGGTTCTTGTCCCTACATTGTACCCATGTGGGAAACCAAACCCGAGTCTTCGGTGTGACGAGCAAACACTTTAACCACAAGGCTACCCCACCGCCCCCAATAAGGACTGAAACAAGGATTGGTCTGCTCGGACGAAACTATGTTTGAGAGGTGTATCTCCCTATTCAGTTGAAACAAGCACCTACAGCCACAGTGAGTTTGATTTAACAATGTTTTGAATGATATTCCATTTAAGCTATGGTGTGTATGGGGAAAAAGCCCCTACTGATGCACGTCTCAGATGTCTACACAAACCAGTGAGTATGGGTATCGTCCTGACAAACTGGAGAAACACAGAGGTGAACCGGGATTCGAGGACCTAATCAGAGGTTTCTGGTGTGCCCAAGAGGTGCAACTTTGTGTTTTGAGAATAATGACAGATGACCGAGCCACCCTGTCCTCAACAAAGTTCAGATTCAATATGGCCACACATTGGATTCATACGATGTGTGAGTGAAGTGATAGGGTGAACAATCAATATTACAACCAAGTCTTTCCTCTGAGTGAGGGAGTGTTTAGTTTTACGCCGCTTTTAGCAATATCCCAGCAATATCACGACAGGGGACACCAGAAATGGGCTTCACACATTGTACCCATGTGGGGAATCGAACCCAGGTCTTCGGTGTGTCGAGCAAACACTTTAACCACTAGACTACCCCTCTTTCCTCTGATCTATATCACAAACTGTATAATCTTAGAGTATATGACTTGTTTTTACACTCATATTTCATTCTAATCTGAACAATTTCACACTCATATCATCATCTTTGTTTCTTACGGTGAATAGTGCTTCATGCCTCATCAGTACCACAGCTACAGATTGCTACGACAGTCCCCTATGCTGAGATCTCTGTCCCTAAACCCGATATGACGCTGGCACTGCCTCCCGAGATCTGTAAGGCGTTGTCATCTGCCTTCTGGATCTAGATGTCGATGTAGGGGAAGTAATCAATCCCTGGGGTGCCCGTGGCCGGCGCGCCAGCAGTGCCGGAATCTGAACACCCAGTCTAGATCTCACTTAATCCCTGCAGCACTAGGCAAGGTGGCATGGTCATCCATTATTTACAGCATTGATTGAGAGTCAGACTTTGGGCCATGTCCTGTGGAGGAGACTCCTACAATCGCATGAAGTCTATAGCAGCAGAAGCAGGGATGAGAGGAGCAGACACTGGATTACAGCAGATATTGGGGATCGGGATTTATGTGAAACCTCCTTGTTCGTTGTCTATCAATATCTGGTGGACTGCCACCTCGATCGTGTAGATCTTGTAGATAAACCGTCCCAACAACCAGCCTGACACACGAGGCTCTAGCAACGTCAAATAAATGGCGCGGGATAGAACAGAAAGACGGCAATAAACGCAACAAATTTAAATGTTGCAATACACATCAATTAGTACTATTACCTTTCACTAGTCCGAGTCAGAAATTCTAAACTGTCAGTATATCCATAGGACAATATGGCAGTTTTAAATTCAGAAGATATGAGTATATACACCTCAACACTATCAAAAGAAACCATTTATATCACTGCTTGACAGGTTCATGTTGGTGGAAAGCCTCACATTATTATTATTATCATAGTCCATTTGTACCACACTATTTCCATTCACAGTAAATGCTCAATGCGGACAGAATTAAAATCATAGTCACTTGGGATGAAACGAGTCATCTGGATATGGATATGATGCAGATCTCACATGTTTATCATTAAAGAATAAGGAATATATTAAGAATAAGGAATATATTAAGAATAAGGAATATATTAAGAATAAGGAATATATTAAGAAGAAACATAATTACAACCATGACATCTGGGGCATTAAACAGGAACAAAGTCAACATGATGTCAAAGCATTTCAGTGTAAATACCTGAATCTATTTAAACTAAAAACTCAAATACCAACAATCTTCAGGCCCTGATTTCTCGAAACAAACTTAAGTCTGAGTTTCGACTTAAGTTAGAGTTTTTACTCAAATTTGAAAAAATGCATTTCCGATAATGAACTAAAATCGATATTAAACTCAAACATAGTAGACATTTGAGTTTGGTGGATAGATTACTTAAGTTGTTTGGGCTTTTTTATTTAAAAAATGCAGTTGAGTTAAAAATTCAGCTGTTTCAAATTGTCCAACTCAGTTTGAAATTTGAGTAAAAACTTAAGTTTGTTTCGAGAAATCGAGGCCTGGTGTCATATTACCAACAAAGTGAAAAATGTTGGCTCACATGTTGCCAGTGTCAATGTATATGATTCACAGAATCACATGCTGCACTGAGTCACACAGCATGCTGGTTGGTTTGTTTGTTGTTTAATCCAAAGCTATATGGTGGCAGAGTGGTGGCCCAGAAAGCAGATGGTTAAAGTTTGATTCTCAGCCCAGATCTGGTACTTGTTGTTCCCTTCCATTCCACAATTATGGTGAGTGAGTGAGTGTACTTTTACACCGCACTCAGTAATATTCCAGCTATATGGTGGCGGTCTGTAAATAATCAAGTCTGGACCACACAATCCAGTGATCAACAGCATGAGCATCGATCTGCGTAATTAGGAACCGATGACATGTGTGAACCAAGCCAGCGAGTCTGACTACCCGATCCCGTTAGTTGCCCCTTACGACAAGCACAGGTTACTGAAGACCAATTCTAACCCTGATTAATTGACGTGAACTACAACAACAAGCATGGACGTGCATGCAAGTCAGTCTGATCGTCATCCTTAAGGTCATCAATGTACTTTCAGTTTCAAAGAAGAATTGACATAGAACAATGTCATATTAAATTTGCTAGAATCTTTTAACATCCAAAGGACATTTGTCTGTAGACAGATGCCTGTGAGTGAGCATGGTTGTCGGTTCTGTCAGCAGTGTTTCAATCCAACCAGGTATCCCACGAGACAGGTTACTGGCCATCTTTGGTTAATTCAGGGAAGTCTGCAGTCCTGATGACAAGTCTCCCTTGAGCTCTCCAACATTACCTGCAGGTTTCTTCAGACCTTCCAGAATACATTTCTGATGCGTTGACATTTCAATGTGTAGGATGTATGAAGTAAGAGAATATTACAGATCGTATTCAACAGAAATCAAGGCCACGCTGTTCATCACCTACAGCTCCACCAAGCGTAATTATTTCATTTTTTTAGTGACCCAAGCCAATCGCTTATCATTTTATTTTATTGTGAGTGCGTGATCAAGTTGAAATTCATGCTCAGAACTGGTTTAATCTGAAAATCCTCTTTTGGGCAAAAACCTTTTTGAGAAGATTGGTGTCTTAATATCATTCGACGTGTCAGTCAGTGACAGAGCGATTAAATTGAAATTCTTTGTCATATTGTTCACTCCTATTTGAAAATCATCGTTTGATGAAAACCTCCTTGAGAACTCCCATACCCAAATGTGTCTCGTGGTGTTCCCATGTAAGTGTAGTGTCATACAGTTGACTCATTAGAGCCTGGTCCTTTCTGAAAATCATCATTGGTGAAAACCTCCCTGAGAAGTCCTATAAACGTATGTATCTCGGGGTATTCCCATGAAAGTCTTGTGTCATATAGTTCACTCTCATGCAAGAGCCTGGACCTATCTGAAAATCATCGTTTGGTGAAAGTACCTTGAGAAATTCTATAAATGAATGTGTCTTGTGGTAGGGGTTGAAATTTTTTTTCAAAACTTCACTGGACACAGATCCAGTAAACTTTCCAAATCCACTTGACAAAATATTAATTTCACTTGACCACAATTAACAATTTGATTTATTTTTCAAAAAAATCTTTATGAATTATAAATAACAGACAATTGCACTTTTATTTCATCATCAAAATATATATTTCAAAAACATTCCGTAGTTTGGCAGTACCGTTCCACAATAAGGTCAAATGTGGATATTTATTTGACCGACCAGAGAATTCCACTTGACCCGGGCGTCGGGCAATGGTATTTTTCAACCAGTGCTTGTGGTGTTCCCATGTAAGTGTTATGCCATAAAGTTAATGTGCACTGTGTATGAATGAAACAACAAACTGAAGCATTACATATTAATATCACCCTAACTCAAATAACCCTCACATACATGGGTCCCCATGCACCAGCACAAAGGGCCTGATTTCACAAAGTGATCATATAATTGTTGTAACACCTTTTCAAACAACCACAAAATGCTTTGTGATACTGAGCCCAGAATGCATGATAATCATGGGATAATAAAATCAGCCTTAGAAATTCATGTTGGTCTGCTGGTCTGAGACTCCAAATTGTGCTGAGGACAAGTGAAAATCAAACAAAAGCAGTAGCATTTGAGGATGTTCACCAATCAGAAACAATTCTTGGTGTATTAATTTCGCTACAAACTGGAACCCAATAAAGGGACAGAAAACATACACATGCTAATGTGTTTCTTCCATACCAGCAGGACCAGCTACAAACTGTGAGGACCGGAGTAGTGAAAATATGGTTTCTCCTCCTGACAAGTGTTTCACAAAACCAAAATTTCTATGGCTGAGAAATGTCTGGGGATACATAAATTGCTTTTGTTTCAGAAATCTAACACGCCAGCCTGGCTATAGTCGCATGACTTTGTTCACTTTGAGACGCAGGCAAACTGTGCTACCCCTTGAATCCATTCTGAAAACAGTAGGTTCAAATCTGAAGCGAGAGGGAAAAAGACTGGCCACAAGAGTCGGCCCTGTCTTACCGGTGGCGGGAGGTCACGCTCATCGTACGTGACGGTGGTGTGTGTAGTAGCTTTGCTGTGGATAGGGGCAGGTTTCTCTACAGGAGGTGGGACAGATTCCGATGTAGCTCGGGTGTTCGACATTTCAAGGGGCGGTGGTGGTGGAGGCAAGTCTTCTTCTACTGGGGAATTCATCTTCTGCGAAAGAAAAGCATCAAATTACAGATTTTTTGTCAAAACATGTTCATAATTCATTTTCTGTTGTGCATGTGAAAAAATGTCCAGGAGCTGAAAAGTAACAATTACATGTCAGGGGAGATAATTCAGTAATCAGTTAGGCACACCACTAGGAATAGCTATAACTTAGTGTTTAATTTTTTGTTTCTGTATGTATCTGTGGAACCACAGGAATAAAGGCTACCACAGGGAGCTAATAATGAGTCTGCACGTTTCAGTCTGCAGTGTTTGGAGCCAATTACATCTCTGAACTTATTTCTCTGGGAGTATTATACCTAAAGAAAATATTCACTGCATACTGACAAGCTGCCCTCCAAGTTTATCCGTTTTTAACTACGTCTGTCAGGACAATTTTCAGTCAGTCAGTTTTTCATTTAAGTTCACGAAACCCCATTCTTGCATATGATCCAATCAATGTTGACCAAGTGAGTTGTCTCCCTTTTGTGTATCAGGGTAAATCTGGTTTTTAAATTATTTTTTTTCCCTTCATTTTTTTATGCAAAAAATAATAATGCGTACATCACTTTTGTTATGGTGCCTCAAAAGCATTAAAGTCAGACAGATTCTAAGGATCCCTAATGGTGGCATTCGCTGACATCGTCTTGATGAACTACTTAGCACCGTGGAGAGTTTTTCGCCACACACCAACAGGCAGCCCAAAATTAAACTTCAAAGAATACTCAAAGTGATCTCCAGCAACAGATCTGTCAATACCTGTCCCCACAAAGTGATCTCCAGCAACAGATCTGTCAATACCTGTCCCCACAGCCTGCTCCTTGGAGATCACTGGACTCAGATTCTGACAGCATTCATCAAGTGAACAACATGGGAAGAGAAATGGCAACTCAGACAAATCCAACCTTTACTTCATAGTTTCATCCCCTTGTAGTCCCTGGACATTGCGTGTACTAATTATACCCACATACAGGAAGTATCCCTCGACCAGCTTGTACAACTCCCAGTAACCTCCACCTTCATCCCCTCATACAAGAAGGGTCCCTCGACCAGCTTGTACAACCCCCAGTCACCTCCACCTCACCCCTCCACAAACAGGAAGGTTCCCTCGACCAGCTTGTACAACCCCCAGTCACCTCCACCCTCATCCCCCACACAGGAAGGGTCCCTCGACCAGCTTGTACAACCCCCAGTCACCTCCACCCTCATCCCCCACATACAGGAAGGTTCCCTCGACCAGCTTGTACAACCCCCAGTCACCTCCACCCTCATCCCCACATACAGGAAGGTTCCCTCGACCAGCTTGTACAACCCCCAGTCACCTCCACCCTCATCCCCACACATACAGGAAGGGTTCCCTCGACCAGCTAATACAACCCCCAGTCACCTCCACCCTCATCCCCCACATACAGGAAGGTTCCCTTGACCAGCTTGTACAACCCCAGTCACTTCCACCCTCATCCCCATATACAGGAAGGTTCCCTTTGACCAGCTTGTACAACCCCAGTCACCTCCACCCTCATCCCCCACATACAGGAAGGTTCCCTCGACCAGCTTGTACAACTCCCAGTAACCTCCACCCTCATCCCCCCCCCCCTACAGGAAGCGTCCCCCTCGACCAGCTAATACAACCCTCAGTCACCTCCACCCTCATCCCCACATACAGGAAGGTTCCCTTGACCAGCTTGTACAACCCCCAGTCACTTCCACCCTCATCCCCCACATACAGAAGTATCCTTCACCAGCTTGTACAACCCCCAGTCACTCTCCACCTCTCATCCCCCCTCTCGACCAGCTTGTACAACCCCCAGTAACCTCCACCCTCATCCCCATACAGGAAGGTTCCTCCCTCACCAGCTTGTACAACCCCTCAGTCACCTCCACCCTCATCCCCTCACATACAGGAAGGTTCCCTTGACCAGCTTGTACAACCCCCAGTCACCTCCACCCTCTCATCCCCACATACAGGAAGTATTCCCTTCACCAGCTTGTACAACCCCCAGTAACCTCCACCCTCATCCCCCACATACAGGAAGGTTCCCTTGACCAGCTTGTACAACTCCCAGTAACCTCCACCCTCATCCCCCTACAGGAAGGAAGGCCCCGACCAGCTAATACAACCCCCTCAGTCACCTCCACCCTCACCCCCACATACAGGAAGGTTCCCTTGACCAGCTTGTACAACCCCCAGTCACTTCCACCCTCATCCCCCACATACAGGAAGTATCCCTTCACCAGCTTGTACAACTCCCAGTAACCTCCACCCTCATCCCCACATACAGGAAGTATCCCTTGACCAGCTTGTACCCCCAGTCAACTCCCAGTAACCTCCACCACCCTCATCCCCCCTACAGGAAGCGTCCCTCGACCAGCTAATACAACCCTCAGTCACCTCCACCCTGACCCCCACCTACAGGAAGGTTCCCTTGACCAGCTTGTACAACCCTCAGTCACTTCCACCCTCATCCCCCACATACAGGAAGTATCCCTTGACCAGCTTGTACAACTCCCAGTAACCTCCACCCTCATCCCCCACATACAGGAAGTATCCCTTGACCAGCTTGTACAACTCCCAGTAACCTCCACCCTCATCCCCATATACAGGAAGGGTACCTCGACCAGCTCATACAACCCCCAGTCACCTCCACCCTCACCTCCACATACAGGAAGGGTACCCTCACCAGCTCATACAACCCCCAGTCACCTCCACCCTCACCTCCACATACAGGAAGGGTCCCTCGACCAGTTTGTACAACCCTCATTCACCTCCACCCTCATCCGCCCCTGCAGAAATGGTCCTTTGACCAGCTTGTACAACCCCAAGTCACCTCTACCCTCACTCCACATACAGGAAGGGTCCCTAGACCAGCTTATACAACCCCCAGTCACCTCCACCCCCCCCCCCCTTTACAGGTAGGGTTCCTCAACCAGCCCAGCTTGTGCAACCCCCAGTCACCTCCACCCCCCTCTTAACAGGAAGGGTCCCTCGACCAGCTTGTACAATCCCCAGTCACCTCCACCCTCACTCACTCACTCATCCCCACATACAGGCAGGGGCTGTTAACCAAGGCACCAGGTCCTGTCTGCAGAGAAACACTGGGACTGATCATTAATGAAGCATCCAGCAGAAGCCTCCAGGTGAAATATGAGTAGTTTTCAAGATATTAATATCTTGTCTAACGAACCTTATGAATCTGATTATAGATTCAACTGACATTAAGTATTAATGTATGTCATCATTAGAAGTGTCAAAGAAGACTGTGTGTTGACTTCAAGCTGATTGTGGCAATTATGTACAAAATTATAGTTACTTGGGTTTTTGAGCTTGGAACAGTGTTCCAATCAAATCACAGTCTTATATGGGAGGAAAACCAAAGTGAAGTTTATCATATTTGGTTGTACGCGGCTTTTACCAATATTCCAGTAATGTCACAGCTGGGGACACCAGAAATGGGCTTCACACATTGTACCCATGTGGGGAATCAAACCCGGGCCTTTGGCGTGACGAGCAAACTCTTAACCATTAGGCCACCCTTCAAACCCATGAACATGGATATGTTGCTGACAAATGTAGCAATGCAACTAGGGTGAAAAAAATGTATGTGTTCAGTCAATAAACACACATATACCTTTACTACGATATATAGCATGACCAGAAATTATTGAGAATTTTAGGAATATGTTTAATTGGATTTCTAGTATAAACAACCTTGACCAGCTTTCAAGTGCTTGGTTTCATTCAAGAGAGACAACTCTGTTAATCCTTTTTCACTAGTTTGTGATGAGTTATCCCCCTTTGTTTACTTGCTAGCAGACGACATTTTCAGTGATCTTCAGTATGGATGATTTAGAGAAGAGGAAGTTGATTTTAGAGTATTATAATGAGGACATCAGATCAGCTAAATTGATTTCAAGTAGAACAGGCATCCCTTTGTCCACTGTTTATGGCATTGAGCACCAGGGAGGTGCAGGTAGGCCCAGAAAATTGACTGTTGGTGACAGGAGGCGGCTTGGTATTCTTGTTTCGAAAAACTAACGAAGGAGTTTAGAAAACTTAAGGCTGGATATGATTGATAGAGGAACTGTGGTTGTCTGTAAGGAGACAATTAGAACTGAGCTGCATGCAATGGGTTGGCAGAAAAGTTGAGGAATTCCATCTCCGATCATGAAACCTGAACAAAAGGAGCGAAGGTTGAATTGGTGCTTACAGCATAGAAATTTTAACTGGGACAATGTGATTTTCTCAGATGAAAGTCCTGTGAGGTTGTTTCCTAATACATTGAAATTCTGGACCAAACAAACTGAAAAACCTTTGTATCAGCGCCCAAAGTACAGTCCGTAATTTAACGTGAGAGGTGGCATATCTGTGTTAGGGGCAGTGTCAATAAAAAAAATCTGACAAATATTGCTGAAATGAAAGAAGAGGTGGTCCGATATTGGGACAGCATGGACCTTGACTTTCTAACTTCTTTGATCAGTAGTATGCCCTGCCGCATTGAAGCCTGCATTGGTGCCCATGGTGACTTGACAAAATACTAACTGTTCACCTGTCATTGAATCTGGAGTTATGTTCTGCTAATATTCACATTAATACGTGAGTAATGAGTGAAATCTTTTATAAAAATTACAATCTTTAAATTCTCAACAATATGTACATACAGGATATTATATTCGTGCCGATGTCATAATCTGTTTACGACACGAGTGCCTACTTGTTGGTATTTCCCGACTGAGAGTGAGGGATATACCGATATTTAGATACAAGTGTCGTAAACATAGTATGATGTGGGCACGAATATAATATTCTGTTTATTACCGAAGTCGTCAAATTGAGGAAAATAAACCAAAATCTACTTTCAAACATAGGCTGGCTACGATGGATCGCCGCATGTAGAACGCAACGTCACAGAAGAAACGCGACATCATAGCATTGTTCATGATGTCACGTCACCATGACAAAATGATATTTTGCCCTAGGGCATCATATGAAAAATAGGAACCACGGTATCCTCGCCCTCGTAGGTAATAAGATAAAATAATAACCTCTTCCCCAATTTCTCTCACACAATAGACTGTGGTATCCACCGGGGTCCCAGGTCTGCAAGTGTACAATGTGACACCCCTTTCATGAGCCCCTGCTGTGGAATATTGCTAAAAGTGACGTGGAAACATACAAGAACCCTTGTAACAGATTAGAGAGTCAGAAAAATACCCACTAATTGTCTCTTTTCATATTTGCATTGCAAAGCCAATTAATCATCCAGCAATATGTGAGGTATTACCCACTACCACAAGAGCAGAACTAACATCTACAGCTGCCAATCCATGCCGCGAGTTTAAACAAGCCAACCAAGGGGTCTACAGTTCACAGATATGGAACCTTTTAGTTCAAGGGAGACAACTCTTTGCTTGCTCTAGGTCATGGGCACCTCACTGAGAACTGCCAAGCCCAACACATCGGCAATGGAACCATCACAATGAACGTGTCTCCTTCAGAAACATGTCTTTAAGAAAAAAGGATATTTTTTGTAATGCTGACTTTGTGAAAGAGCAGAGTTTCTTTAAAGAACACCATTTTTTTTCCAGCCAAGTCTTGGTAATGTGAAGCGAATCAGAGTGAAAAGAAAAGGTCTGAAGTGAAGTTATCTGTACAAGTGAGGTCTCAAGAAATTCAAGCAGCACATCTCAAATCAAGCTGTCAAAGCATTTCAGAATATATTTAGTTTCAAAGAAAACCAAAACAGAAATATAGCTTTAGAAAACCAATACAAAGGAATATTCACACAAGTGAAGAAAAATATTCCAGAAGCCAAATAATTGAATTAAAGAAAGCAAGGGTACTTTTAGGAAGACTTAGATATAAATTTGAATTTTTTGTAGTGTCTGTTCCTATTGATTTTCTTGGCTAATAACTTCAGAAATAAGATCAGTGAAATTCAAGAAGGGAATTTCTTTTTAAAAAATCATCACATAAATTTAGTAAAAATAGGGTAAACCACTCTGTACAGACAACTGCAGTGAATTCAACAGGCCACACACGCCTCCCCTCAGTGCCAACCATGGCTCAACCATGTGGGCTGATGCTGATCCTGTCACTGCTAAGGGACACAACTCTAATCAAATAAATGTGTCACAGTGGATCACTGGCTGTTGCCCCACAGGGTTAGAAGATCAGGGTTAGAATTGATCTTCAGTAACCCATGCTTGTCGTAAGAGGCGACTAACGGGATCGGGTGGTCAGGCTCGCTGACTTGGTTGACACATGCATGTCATCATAACCCAATTGTGTAGATCGATGGTCATGCTGTTGATCAGTGGATTGTCTGGCCCAGACTCGAATATTTACAGACTGCCACCACATAGCTGGAATATTGCTGAGTGTGGCATAAAACTTAACTCACTCACTGGCGTTCCCCAATGCCATACATATAGTCATCTAAATGATCTTATATATATCTGATCCGAACCCACAAGGCACAGATCTTGGCAGGGTTAAGGGATGTAACTCTACATAGCTATTGAACCACTTGGCAGTCATGCAACCGTGGAACAGATAGCTATCAAAGGCATTCATAATGCTGCAATGATATTGTGGTAATGAAAAACCCAACTACAGCAATGCAATATTACATGATGACAGAGTTTTTCATGACACCATTCAACAACATGGGGAAATAATTAATTAGATACTACATGTGTATTTTAAGATACTGTGAACAATGGCCAAAGCATCTGACCAATGGCTTTTTAAAAATCATATCATGCCAGTCAATACAATCAATAGCCTGGGGTGGCATCAGTGACAGCCATTGTGGCCAATTATAAAACATGTTGTGGTTCCGATTACACCTCTTTAAAATTTAGGGTTGGTAGGTAGGATTTTTTTTTTTAACATTTTGTTTAGAAATAAAGTACAAACTAATAACACATTATCAATGTGTAATTGTTTATTCAATCGAGCTTGAGGCCATCATGTCTACCTTCTCTATCAGAATGACCGATGTCCGTCGGTGCCTGCAAAAACAATGGTATCTGAAAGCTAATTTTATTCAAACTGCTTAAAAAATTGGGTAGGCACTAGAATTCAGGAGTTGGTCGGGTAATCGGAGCCGCAACATTTTTTTTAGGCCAGGTGACCAGGGACATTTAAACCACAGTCCAGTATATATTAAACCCATCTTACGTGGCTAACTTCCATCCTGCTGGTCTGGTTGTTGGCTGCTGGTGGCTCACGCTCCCACTTGCTGGCCAGTTGAAGCGTCTCCAGGGTCTTCTCATGGGTGGACTTGGAGTCATCAAGAAGGGTGTACTCATAGAACTCCTGGATTTCTGAAAACAACAACAGACGTCATTATCTGTCTTACAACATAACTGGTGAACACATGGGTGGCTTGGCGTTATCAAGAAGGGTGTACTCGTAGAACTGGATTTCTGAAAACAAAAACCGACGTCATTCTCTCTTTCTTACAACATAACTGAGAACACATGGATGGACATCAAAACGTCAATATCTCATAAAACTCCTGGATTTACTCAAGAACTCCTGGGTTTCTGAAAACAACAACAGACGTCATTATCTGTCTTACAACATAACTGGTGAACACATGGGTGGCTTGGCATTATCAAGAAGTGTGTACTCGTAGAACTCCTGGATTTCTGAAAACAAAAACCGACGTCATTCTCTCTTTCTTACAACATAACTGAGAACACATGGATGGACATCAAAAACTCATATAACTCCTGGATTCCTGGAAATAACAACTGAAATCAGTGGGTTGAACAATAACTCTGTGTTCCACAATTGCTGGTGGCACACATGGGTGGCCTTGTAGATATAAAAAACTCATAGAGCACCTTGATTTCTGAAAGGTCAACAACCGATTCAGCCATAATTCTGTTTCATACCATCAATGCCAAAACAAATGAGTCATCAAGCAGAGTGTAGTCATAAAACTCCTGGATTTCAGAAACATGAAGTGAACCCCACTCCTCTGTATCGCCAGGGCTGGCATGCGGATGAAAATTCACCAAGGCCCGGATCCATTCACTTGGTTCTCGCAAAATTCATATTCCTCGCCCTCAATTTCCATCTGCCAATGCGATTAGCTACCCTCTTGGTCTAACATATCAAACCTAACTGAGTTACAAACAAGCTTGAATGTTGGTTGTCAATATCAACAACATCACAGGGAGTCCCATGGATTATGATTGAACATTGAAATTCAGAACTGGAAATGACAAGCAAGAAAAAATCTTCAACTATCTTTCAAGGAAAGGATATCTTCGTGTCCATCAAAACTGGCGATGGCAATGTTTTTTCAGTAACCGAAGTTACCTCCACTAGCAGGCTTGCCTTCAAATGAGAGTGAGTAAGTGAGTTTGGTTTCAGTCGCTACTAGTAATAGTTGAGCAACATCACAGCAGGGGACACCAGAAATGGGCTTCACGCATTGTACTCATGTGGGGAATCGAACCCAGGTCTTCAGCATGACGAGCGGACGCTTAACCATTAGGCTACCCCACTACCCATTTCTAATAAGAAATATATTCATCCAGCATTAAAATGGTGTCTGTAGGCTATAGTGGACCTTACAGACAGCGCTAACTGGGTGAGGTGAGGTGAGGTGGGTGGGGTGAGGTGAGGTGAGGTGAGGTGAGGTGAGGTGAGGTGGGGTGGGGTGAGGTGAAATTGGGTTTAACGTCGTGCTGAGAATATTTCGCTCTTATGACGACGTGCATGCATGTGTATGTGTATGTGCAGCTGCTTGTACTAGCCCAGACTGAAGCTGGTTTTATAGTGCTAGCCCACTGAGATACCATGCCGCAGTGAAGCATGAATACCCCACTCCGACACATTATACTGATTCCGAGCCGACCAGTCCTTGTTGTACCCAATAATGCCAAGCGCCAGGCAGGGACCAACAAGTACCATATTTTAACGCCTTTTGGTATGACGCGTCGGGGATCGAACCCGTGACCTTCCGCTGTCGACAGTGCTAACTACTGAGTGACCTCCTGAAGTAAATCGTGTGTTTCTTTTATATTAGGACGTGTTTCAAAGAATATTGTAACTGGTACTGAAGTTGGTCAAGGAATGCCTATTGGAACACTGTGCTGAATTGAGTAAATACGGTACTTTCAAAAGACTTATGATAGCTTGTTTCCTACCCCAACACATATCTCACCCTTCCACTGTACACTTTCTTTTGTTCCAACACAATGTGCAAAACATATTTTTTCATCTCCTAATGTACAAGCAATTTTTGTAAACACAAATTTAACAAATCACACAAGCAGAATTCGACACAACTGGTATTAAACCTTCTGTTGCTAATCAAATCAAACCAATCAATTCTCTAACACTATCAATGTACTATTTACAGAAGCCGTCATGGAATTAACGAGTATCCATAGAAACCACACTTCCAGTCCAACTGTTCATAAATAATATACAACAAACTGGCAACAAATTAACGGGTGTTTATACATAAATCTTGTAATTCTAAATAACTGACAGATGAACATGATAGCAGGGAACAGGTTGCTTTTATTGAAACATACAATAAGATTCACAACTGGTCAGTCTAATCACAACACAAAAATATGTGGCTTAGGTGTGCATGTTTGTGTATATTATAAGTTGTTCACTGGTCTCTAGGGGGGACATGGGTAAACAAACATCGAGGGTACACAAACAAACATCATCCCATGGGCCCCCGAGGGACCAGTGAACAACGTATTTATCTTACCGAACACCTCAATGGTAATTTTGAACTGTTTGAAGCACGGGTATCGGATCATAGTATGGAGTACCAGACGACAAGACAAGAAAAACAAATTTAGAGTAACCTCCCTTCCATCGATTTGCATTCGCAAAACATCGGTAATTTCCGTATATCATACGTGATTCAATGTTATTCGAGATAATGAATTACTACTACGAAGTACCAAATGAGTTCGGCATTCCCAGCGGGGTACATAGAAAATGTTACTCACTTGTAAGTGGGGTACATTGAAAATAACAGAAGAGCGCTCAGCCAATCAGAAAACGACATTTATGTGTGAGGCAAGATAATCTAGATTTTATAACCCAGTAATGGACACACTTCCAGCCATGATAGATTGTAGAGTTTTCTGAATACCTAGTTTGCCACCAGCAGAGTTTGCAGGGTATCTATTCTAACCTGGAATTCCAATAATGTGACAGACCAATTGAAATCAGAGAAACTATTGAACCTATTTTACTAGCAGATCCTGTGCAGTTAATACAATTATTCATACCTCAGACCAGTGTTTTTAGTTTAGTTTGTCTTCACTGCTGTGCACTATATTGTGACAGGGGAGAGAACTGATGTCAATTTCTCTGTAAATTATCTTTTGTGTATCTTATGTGTAAGACTTGTGAGTGAGTGAGTATGGTTTTATGCCGCTTTTAGCAATATTCCAGCAATATCACAGCAGGGGACACCAGAAATGGGCTTCACGCATTGTACTCATGTGGGGAATCGAACCCAGGTCTTCAGTGTGACGAGCAGACGCTTAACCATTAGGCTACCCCACTACCCATTATGTAGGTCATAGTGGACCTTACAGACAGTGCTAACTACTGAGTGACCTCCTGAAGTAAATCGTGTGTTTCTTTTATATTAGGTGTTTCAAAGAATATTGTAACTGGTACAGAAGTTGCTCAAGGAATGCCTATTGGAACACTGCTGAATTGTGTAAATACGGTACTTTCAAAAGTCTTATGATAGCTTGTTTCCTTGTTTCACATTGCACCCATGTGGGGAATCGAACCCGGGTCTTCAGCGTGTCGAGTGGACGCTTTAACCACTAGGCTACCCCACCGTCCCTTGTAAGACTTGTAATGCAATAGATCATGAAAGTAGTATGGAGCTCATGCAGAGTCAAGTCCAGATACTGATACAAGAATCTTCTCATGCTGTTGATCACTGGATTGCCTGGTCTAAATACGATTATTTACAGATGGATGCCATATAGCTGTAATACTGCTCAGTGCGGCCAACAAACCAGGTACCACTCACTCACTCATTCACTCGCCCCTTCCTTCACTGCAGTGACCTTCTTCCCAGGAGCAAACATCACTGCAGTGACCAATTCCATTGCATCCAGGAGCAAACATCAGGATATGTTTTTCTGCCATCTTTACAACTGATCCAGACATATCACGTTAGGACAACAATCATGAGCTTTTCACCTGTGTTTAAAATTACCGGGGGTTCTGACTAAGTGGTTTGCTCAGATAGTATTTGAATCTGGCGGCTCCCCAAATCTTTACCTCTTAATACTTGGCTTAGAACAGTGATCCCATGACTTCCATGCTGTGTTTTGAATGCAGGTACCCAGTTGTGTATAACATGATCCTTCCAAGTGATGAGTGAATGCCTTAACCACCAGGCTACTTCACCACCATCAACTATAACAACACACAAGACAGCTGTACAGCTATGTCTTGGCAGAAAACAAGTGACCATTTAGACGCAAGTAAAATACCAAAACCCATTAGCTAACTGCCATAAAATGAAATTTGCACATGTGCACAGCGTTTATGCGATGAACAGCATGGATTCAAACCTGAGGTCAAGGCATGTTTGGTACTGTTGTGGAAGGGCACTTGGAAGCCAATTGGCTCAGAGATTTGCCAATCAACAACAGGGATAATTTTGAAAGTGGCAGTAAACCTGCAGTATCCATAACAACAGGGACAACGCCCATCACTTCACCTGCTCTAATGTCTCAACAGGTAGGAGGGGCGGTGGGGTAGCCCAATGGTTAAAGCAGTGGCTCGTCACACGGAAGACCCGGGTTCGATTCCCCACATGGGCACAATCTGTGAAGCCCATTTCTGGTGTCCCCCGTCGTGATATTGCTGGAATATTGCTAAAAGCGACGTAAAACCCAACTCACTCACTCACTCACTCCACAGGTCGGATTTCTGCTGGTAGGATATCATAATGACGATGCAATTTGCACCATCGCATATGGGAGTGTTCTGACACAAACTGTTAATCAAGCTACAGATAAGAGCTAAAGCTTTAAATCCAAAATTAAGGCAAATGTTCAAAGATATTCTATCATATTTAAAACAAAAAGGGAATTAATTCTAATTAAATGATATGTCATATTGATTACAATCAAGTCTAATGGGTGAAGTGCCACAACGTTCTTTGAACCTATATGCTGCTCATAGTAGTCTCATATCCCTGTATCCTGCTGTCACGTCATCAGTGCAACTTTGTTATAGATTACAATTATAGGGAAATATGTGAATGGTGTCTGTTTCTAGATCATGTGAAGGTGACTATATA